ATATGTGTGTGTGTGTGTGTAGAGAGAGAGAGAGAGAGAGAGAGAGAGAGAGAAATGAAGTGGCCACCATATGTGTGTGTGTGTGTGTGTGTGGAGAGAGAGAGAGAGAGAGAGAGAGAGAGAGAGAAATGAAGTCGCCACCATATGTGTGTGTGTGTGTGTGTGTGTGTAGAGAGAGAGAGAGAGAGAGAGAGAGAGAGAAATGAAGTGGCTGCTATGCACATAGGCGTATAGGTGCGCTGAAAAGATGCACCGGTAGGGGCATACGGATTTGTTTGGTGCTGGTAACAGCTATCGGGTAGGGGCATACTGCAAATTTGGAATTGATAGCATTAGGGGCAGAACAAAAATATTCCAGGTCCAACCGACACTCGGGTTTCATTTATGGGAACATTGAATCGTGGTGGGAGGGGCGCGACAGAGTAAATCGGCCGTGGGAGGAGCGCGACGCAAAATAATGGAAATTGCAGGGGCGCCAGACAAAGTTTCCCTTTCTTTTTTGTAAGCTAATATTGTTTTCTCAATTTCACCTTTCACTATTCTAAGCGTCGACAGCGGCACCCTGCCGTATCGGCGGTGGTCAGGGAGCACGGTGGGGCCGCCGGTGGGGGGGGCCGGCTAACGCACAGACCGAGCATTTTGCCAGTAGCTGCGCCTCCCTCCACCCCCCATCGAGTAGTAGTAGTGGCTATGGCCAACACTCTCGAGCGTGAGTGGGTTGTGTGTATGATTGGTTTTGGTTCCTGTGATGGCGTTTGTTGCATGGGAGGCCAGTTGTTTGCGTGTGAAGTACAGTCGCCACAGAGTTTAGGGTTACGTGGAGAGAGAGGGGAGTGAGGGGACAAGACAAGGTGGAAGAGGAGGGAGAGAGCGGGAGAGAGCTCGCAAGAGTGGAACTAATTAGTAATTGGCGGTGGCTTGTTGGTAGAAGTTGACAATGGGCATCGTGATAAGGTGTTTTAGGCTGCAATAGGAAGAACGAAGGGACGTTGGAAACGGAGGGGAGAGGGCGAGGGGATTCGTCGTGGTAACACAGTAGTGTTCATCGTTGTCGTAGGGTTCCGGTTAATGTGAAGGAAAACACGGCCGGGCGCGGGGTTGGGAGGTGTTAGAGAATTCGGTTTCGTGTCAGCGGCGCAGTTGTAGTGCGAGGTTCGAGTAAGTGCCGAAACCTGTCAGAGAGGGGGTCGGAATATTGACAGCCGCGCTACGTGAGTTAAGTGGAGGAGGAGGAGTAGGAGAAGGAGAGGAGTAGAGAGAGATGTTGTCTTGGCAGTGACATATCCTGTGACATATCCTGTGACATATCCTGTTCTAGGGCGAGTCTGGTTTGTGGCCGATTCTCGCCGACTTGTATACAGATTTCGGTAGGGTAAGGGAAGAGGAAGAGGTACAGTGGAAGGGAAGGCGGGAGGGCGGGTGGGACTGATTGAAGGGTGGTGGTAGCCGAGGAGGAGAGAAATCCGCGAAGATGGCGTCCGCTAGTGCTCCTATTACGATGAAGGAGGCGTTGTCCCTGACCTCCCTGGGGGTAGCGCAGCAGTTCGTCACCTTCACTCACGTTACAATGGAGTCGGAGAAGTTCATTTGTGTGAGGGAGACGGCGCCGCAGAACAGTGTTGTTATCATCGATATGAGTCAGCCTGCACAGCCGCTCAGAAGACCCATTACGGCCGATTCGGCGCTTATGAATCCGGCGAGCAAGATTCTCGCTCTGAAAGCGCAAGTACAAGGCGCCAGCCAAGACGCTCTGCAGATATTTAACATCGAGGCGAAGCTGAAGATGAAGTCGTACCAGATGCCGGAGCAGGTGGTGTTTTGGAAGTGGGTGACGCCTAAGATGCTGGGGTTGGTGACGGCCTCCGCCGTCTTTCATTGGTCCATCGAGGACACGACGTCGGAGCCGGTCAAGGTGTTCGAGAGGCACGCGAGTTTGAATGGCAATCAGATCATCAACTACCGAATCGACCCAACGGAGAAGTGGTGCGTGCTCATCGGGATTGCTCCGGGCTCACCGGAACGTCCGCAGCTGGTGAAGGGGAACTTGCAGCTGTACTCCGTGGATCAGCAGAGGAGTCAACCCTTGCAAGCCCATGCGGCGGTTTTCGCGCCCTTCAAGTCGCCGGCGAGCGAGGTGCCTTCGGTGCTCATAGCCTTCGCGACGAAGACGATCGACGGCGGGCAGCTGACATCGAAACTTCACGTCATCGAGTTGGGAGCCCAGCCTGGCAAAGGAACCTTCCAGAAGAAGCAAGCAGACTTGTTCTTCCCGCCAGATTTTGCGGACGACTTTCCCGTTGCAATGCAGGTGTCCCAGAAGTACAGTCTGATCTATGTCGTGACGAAACTAGGTCTCCTCTTCGTCTACGACTTGGAGACGGCCACGGCCGTGTACAGGAATCGAATCAGTCCGGATCCCATCTTCCTCACCACCGATGCGCCGCAGGTCGGCGGGTTCTATGCTGTCAATCGGCGGGGTCAGGTGTTGTTGGCCACTGTGAATGAACAGACCATCATCCCATTCGTTAGCTCGCAGCTGCAGAACCTGGAGTTGGCAGTGAACCTGGCGAAGCGCGGCAATCTTCCCGGTGCAGAGAATCTGGTCGTTCAGCGATTCCAAGAGCTGTTCGCTCAGATGAAGTACAAGGAGGCGGCGGAGCTGGCGGCGGAATCGCCGCAGGGCTTGTTGCGAACGCCGGATACCATAGGAAAGTTCCAGAGCGTTCCGGTGCAACCCGGACAGACCTCTCCTCTCCTGCAGTACTTCGGTTCGCTGCTGACGAAGGGCTCGCTCAACGCCTTCGAGTCCTTGGAGCTGTCCCGGCTCGTCGTTAATCAGAACAAGAAGAATCTGCTGGAGAATTGGCTCGCGGAGGACAAACTCGAGTGCAGCGAGGAGCTCGGCGATCTCGTGAAGACCGTGGATTCGGATATGGCGCTGAAGATTTACATCAAGGCGAAGGCGACTCCGAAGGTGGTCGCGGCTCTTGCGGAGCGCAAGGAGTTCGACAAGATCCTCATCTACTCCCAGCAAGTCGGGTACACGCCGGACTACCTGTTCCTTCTGCAGTCGATAATGAGGGCAGACCCCGCGGGCGCAGTCGACTTTGCCTCGAGGATGGCGCAGATGGAGGGCGGCAGCCCGGTGGACGTGAACACTGTTGCGGAACTCTTCTTCCAGCGCAACATGATTCGCGAGGCCACGGCTTACCTTCTCGATGTTCTGAAACCCAATCTTCCGGAGCATGCCATGCTGCAGACCAAGGTCTTGGAAATCAACCTGGTCACCTACCCCAATGTTGCAGATGCGATTCTAGGGAATGCAATCTTCTCGCACTACGACAGGTCGCGAATCGCGCAGCTGTGCGAGAAGGCGGGACTTTACATGCGAGCGCTTCAGCACTACACGGACCTTCCCGACATCAAGCGCGTTGCGATAAACACGCACGCGATCGAGCCGCAGTCGCTGGTGGAGTTCTTCGGGACGCTGTCGCGTGAGTGGGCGCTTGACTGTATGAAGGAGCTGTTGCTGATCAATCTTAGGGGCAACTTGCAAATCGTCGTCCAGGTGGCGAAGGAGTACTCGGATCAGCTTGGAGCCGATGACTGCATCAAGTTGTTCGAGAGTTTCAAGTCGTTCGAGGGGCTGTTCTTCTTCCTGCAGACGTACATTGCACAGACCGAAGACCCGGACGTGCACTTCAAGTACATCGAGGCGGCTGCGAGGACGAATCAGCTGAAGGAGGTGGAGCGGGTCACCAGAGAGTCCAACTTCTACGACCCGGAGAAGACGAAGAACTTTCTGATGGAGTCGAAGCTGAGCGACGCGCGCCCTCTCATCAACGTGTGCGACCGTTTCAACTTTGTCCCCGACCTCACTCACTACCTCTACGCCAACAATATGCTGCGGTACATCGAGGGCTACGTGCAAAAGGTGAACCCCGCGAACGCGCATCTCGTCGTGGGTCAGCTCATCGACGACGATTGTCCGGAGGAGTTCATCAAAAACCTAATTCTGTCTGTTCGCAGCCTACTGCCCGTGGAGACGTTGGTGGAAGAGTGCGAGAAGCGGAACAAGCTGAGGCTGCTGACGCAGTTCCTGGAGCATCTTGTGAGCGAGGGGAGCACGGATGTTCACGTGCACAACGCCTTGGGGAAGATCATCATCGACACTAACAACAACCCGGAGCATTTCCTGACCACGAATCCGTACTACGACTCCCGAGTTGTCGGCAAGTACTGCGAGAAGCGCGACCCTACGTTGGCGTGTATTGCGTACAAAAGGGGGCAATGCGATGACGAGCTCGTCAATGTCACAAACAAGAACTCGCTCTTCAAGTTGCAGGCCAGATACGTCGTGGAAAGGCAAGACGACGTGCTCTGGGGGAAGGTCCTTACGCCCGATAATCAGTTCCGGCGGCAGCTCATTGATCAGGTGGTGTCGACCGCGCTGCCGGAGAGCAAGAACCCGGAGCAAGTGTCGGTGGCGGTAATGGCTTTCATGAACGCGGATCTGCCGCACGAGCTCATCGAGCTGCTGGAGAAGATTGTGCTCCAAAACTCCGCCTTCAGCGGGAACCCTAATCTGCAGAACTTGCTCATTCTGACGGCCATCAAGGCGGACAAGACGCGAGTCATGGACTACGTCAACCGGCTCGAGAACTTCGACGGGCCGGCAGTCGGAGAGATTGCCGTGGGCGCGGAGCTATACGAGGAAGCGTTCGCTATTTTTAAGAAGTTCAACCTGAACGTGCAGGCCGTCAACGTGTTGCTTGACAACATGAAGAGCATCGAGAGAGCGGTGGAGTTCGCGACGCGTGTGGACGAAGACGAAGTGTGGAGCCAGGTGGCAAAAGCGCAACTGAAGGAGGGTCTTGTGTCGGACGCCATCGAATCGTTTATAAGGGCAAGTGATGCGACGCAGTTCGCGAATGTGATTCGGGCGGCAGAGCAGGCAGAGGTGTTTGAAGACCTTGTCAAGTACTTGCTGATGGTCAGGAAGAAGGTGAAAGAGTCGAAGGTGGACACCGAGCTCATCTATGCCTACGCGAAGATCGACCATCTGGGCGAGATCGAGGAGCTCATTTCGCTGCCCCACGTTGCGAACATCCAGTCGGTTGGCGACCGCTGCTTCGACGAAGCTCTCTATGAGGCGGCGAAGATCCTCTTCACGCACATCTCCAACTGGCAGAGGCTGGCAGTAACGCTCATCAAGCTTCAGCAGTTTCAGGGAGCGGTGGACGCCGCGAGGAAAGCGAACAGCACTCGCACATGGAAGGAAGTGTGTTTTGCGTGCGTGGATGCAGAGGAGTTCCGCCTTGCGCAGCTCTGCGGCCTCAACATCATTGTGCAAGTGGACGATCTGGAGGAGGTGAGTGATTACTACCAGAATAAGGGGAGGTTCGATGAGCTCATCAACCTAATGGAAAGTGGCTTGGGATTGGAGCGCGCCCACATGGGTATCTTCACGGAACTGGGCACTCTGTACGCGCGGTACAGGCCGGAGAAATTGATGGAGCATTTGAAGCTCTTCTCCACGAGAATCAACATACCCAAGCTCATCCGCGTCTGCGAAGAACAGCAGCACTGGAAAGAGCTCACCTTCCTGTATATTCAGTACGACGAATACGATAACGCAGCGACTGTCATTATCAATCACTCGCCGGAGGCCTGGGAGCACATGCAGTTCAAGGACGTTGCGGTGAAGGTTGCGAATGTGGAGCTCTATTATCGGAGCATTCAGTTCTACTTCCACGAGCACCCGGACTTGTTGAACGACCTCCTCAATGTGCTCGCTACACGGGTTGACCATAGCCGTGTTGTCGACCTCATGAAGAAGAATGGGCAGTTGGCCTTGGTGAAGCCTTACCTTGTTGCAGTGCAGAGCAACAATGTTGCGGCCGTCAATGACGCTCTCAACGACCTGTACATAGAGGAAGAGGACTACGATCGCCTGCGCGAGTCCATTGACATGTACGACAACTTCGACCAGATTGGCCTTGCCCAGAGGGTTGAGCGGCATGAGCTTCTTGAGTTCAGACGTATAGCAAGCTACATATACAAGAAGAACCAGAGGTGGAGGCAGTCTGTGGCGTTGTCCAAGAAGGATAAGCTCTACAAGGATGCGATGGAGACCTGCGCTGTGTCGGGAGACAGAGAGCTAGCAGAGGAGCTTCTTGGGTTCTTTGTCGAACAGGACAAGAAGGAGTGTTTTGCCGCTTGCTTGTACACATGCTACGATCTCATTCGCGTGGATGTGGCGTTGGAGCTCGCCTGGATGAACAATATGGTGGACTACTGCATGCCCTACTTGTTGCAGTTCATGAGAGAGTACACTGGGAAGGTGGACGAGTTGGTGAAGGACAAAGAAGAGCTTCTGAAGCAGAGGAGGGAGATGGCTCAGGAAGAGAAGGAGGCTGTTGCAAAGCAGAATATGTATGCGTCTCTGATCCCGCTGGCGCTGCCCGCACCCCCCGGCTATGATCCCGGCTATGATCCGGGCTATGGTGGGGTTCCCCCCGTGGGTGGAATGGGAATGCCCGCCTACGGTATGCCCCCCATGACAGGTTACTAGTTGAAACGTGGACGTTGTCTTGATTGTCTTTAGGTGCCCTTCCCCCCGGCCCCACAAAGCTGTTCCGCATCTTTCGCATCTTGCATTGGAGTGCAGTGATGCAGGAGGACGACAGAGGTGGACAGCCTGATTCATCATGATGGTCCGAGTGCGGATTTTGTTCTGGGATGTTCAACGCGTTTGGGAGGTATAAATATTGCCTGGAAGACGACGTGCCATCTCTCTGATTATTGTGGTTTGGCAGATGCATGTTGTGTAGGTCGTTTTGCAGTCGCTGCAGTTGGAACCTGTGGTCCGTCCAAACGGAGTGGTGGTGTGTTGTGGAAAGGAGCTTTGCTGGGTTCTGAGCCCGGACCCTATTCTTATTAGGTAGTACTGGTTGGTGAATAAGAGTTGTAAACTCATAATCTCTCCCTTTTAAGCCTTAACCCCTCCCCCGCCCCCCAATAGCTGGGCTAGGTACAAATATAGTTCCTATAAATATAGCTCCTATAAACTCTTTCAACCTCTACAAGCCTAGATTTCTCCCGGTTGAGCTGAAGGAAGCTGTTCCCAATATGGTAACTAGACACCTACCCTTTCTGGAAAGGAGTCAGGTTGCAGCACCCAGGCCAACGCCTGGATTTCCCTCCTATGCCTGGTATTGCTCTCCCTGACTGCATCGTGATGCTGTCCGGCCGGTGATGCTACGTGCCACATGCTGCTGCTGCTGCTGCTGCTGTTCTGCCTATCCCTAGTGAGGAAGAGGGAGCTGAAGACAGGTGGAGAGTGGTGTAGCCAGAGGAAGAGAAGGGTGGAATGGGGGTAGAGGGGGAGGGGGTGGTTGTGAACCGTGTTGGGGATCCGTCCTGTGTAGCTGATAATCTATTGCCAGCTGTTCATTCTCTGACTGCTGAGCATCACGTTTCAATGAGGAAAGAACAAGGGAGTGGGTGTCCGCGGTAGTGGACCTGAGGAGTGAACAAGTGATTTTATCTGTGTTTATAATCCATTTTGTTGTCATTATGCTGTCCTCCATGTATGGGTTGTGTGGGCTGGACGTTGCTTGATGGGCTTTCGGTGTATGCTTTATATATGTGTGCCACTGCAGCTCAGAGGATCCCTCCACGCTTGATCTCCTTCCCCCTTCCTTGACACATGCACTGGTAAAACAGAAACAGAAGAGAAAGAAATCTGTCCGTGCCAGAAGTATAGAAGGAAAGAAGAATCTATTCATATTATCACAGTAGTGAGTTGTCTCTAGTATGGGTGATAGTGGACATCTAGTGCAGTACAGAGGAAATGTTCATGTTGCAGAAAGGCTGGTGGGTATGCACACGTAGGTCACACAGATTGACAGCTTGCGACTTCTCTGTCGGTTTTGGGTAGGCCCTCTCTCTCTCTGTCGGTTTGGGCATGCCCTCTCTCTCTCTCTCTCCTCAAAATTGTTTTATTCCACTGGCTTTGAAGGTTAACTGGGGTCGTGGGGCTGTTGCCCATGGTTTTTAAATCGGAGGGTAAACTGCAAATCTGCTTATGAATGGCAAGGACTTTCGCTGATGAAGCCTTTACCGAAATGAATGCAGAATTGACCTAGGCTGAACTCCGGGCCGCCCGGCGCCCGGCTTGTCGCCCGGGCGGGGGGCCGGGCCGCCTGGCCGGTCGTTCCGCCCGGTTGGCCACCGGATGACCCCAGTCGAGGGCGTTTTTTTTTTTTTTTTTTTTTTTTCCGCCACGGAGGGCCTTCTCCCCCCCAAAGGAGGCCGTGTATGGGAAAAAAAAAAAAAGGGCCGGTAGACCCGACTTGAAAGATTTCAAATCGGGGCCCATCTGCGCCGTCGATCTCCGAGATCGACGGCCCAGATGGGCCGCGATTTCAAATTTTTCAATCGGGCCAACCGGCCCTTTTTTTTTCCCACTCTGCTTCTGGTTTCCCGCCTTCCTGGCGCAGACCTTGGTGGTAGCCTTCGTACCCCTCCCAACACCTCACTTCGCCCGAGTGCAGCCGTCGCCGGTGCCGTCGAACCGCGCGCCCGCCAACGGAGTCAATGCCCCCCGAACGCCATTGCGCTGTCCGCCAACGGAGTCGACGCGCCCCGAACGCCGTCGCGCTGCCCCCCGACACGCCCCGACGCGCGCCACGGTGAGTGTGTTAGTAAGAGAGAGAGAGAGAGAGAGCTTCTTCTTCTTCTTCTTCTCCTCCTCCTCCCTCGCTTTTTCTTCTTCTCCTCCTCCGCTTCTTCTTCTTCTTCTTCTTCTTCTTCTTCTTCTTGTCGCTCTTCCTCTTCCTCTTCGTCCTCTCCTCCTCCACTTCTTCTTCTTCCTCCTCTTCTTCTTCTGCTTCTTCTTCTTCTTCCTCTTATCCTCCTCCTCCTCTTCTTCTTCTTCAACTTCTTCTTGTTGCCCCCCCTGCCCGCCATCAGTGACCTCAAATTCCGATTTTTTTTTTTTTTTTTTTATCTGCCTCGTGCGCGCGCGTGTTGGGCCGCGTCGTCTACACCACCCCCGTTCTTCTTCTTCATCATCATCATTTTCTTCCTCTTCTTCTTCTTTTCCTCCTCCTCCTCCTTCTTCCCACCCTTCCAAAGCCCCCGCCTTCATCCTTTCTCGCACTCCATTTCTCACCCCCTGCCCTCCACCTTCTTCTTCTTCTTCTCGCCCACCCTATCGCACCCCCCTCCCATCTTTTTCTTCATCTTCGTCTTCCTCCTCTTCTCCTTTTCTTCTTCTTCTTCTTCTTCTTTTCCTCCTCCTCCTCCTTCTTCTTCTTCCCACCCTTCCAAAGCCCCCGCCTCCATCCTTTCTCGCACTCCATTTCTCAACCCCTGCCCATCTTCCACCTTCTTCTTCTCGCCCACCCTATCGCACCCCCCTCCCATCTTTTTCTTCATCTTCTTCTTCCTCCTCTTCTCCTTCTCTTCTTCCTCTTCTTCTTCCTCTTCTCCTCTTCTTCTTCTTCTTCTTCTTCTTCTTCTTCTTCCAACCCCCCTGCCCGCCACCCCCGACCACTCTTCTTCTTCTTCTTCTTCTTCTTCCAACCCCCCTGCCCGCCACCCCCGACCACTCTTCTTCCTGTCTCTTATACACATCTAGATGTGTATAAGAGACAGGTCTACACTGTCTCCCTCTTCTCGCCCACCTAATGTACGCATCTTCTTCTACTTCCTCTCGGCCTCCTTGTCTCGCCCACCCTTTATTACCGCCTGCCCGCCATCCTCCACCACCCATCTTCTTCATCATCTTCTTCTTCTACTTCTTCTTCTCCTTATTCTTCCTCCTCTTCTCCTCCTCTTCTTGTTCTTCTTGTTCTTCCTCTTTTCCTCCTCCTTCGCATCTTCTTCTTCTCCTTATTCTTTCTCTTCTCCTCCTCTTCTTCTTCTTCTTCTTCTTCTTCCTCTTTTCCTCCTTCTCCTCCTTCGCATCTTCTTCTTCCTGTCTCTTATACACATCTAGATGTGTATAAGAGACAGTTCTTGTTCTTCTCGTCATCCTCCACCGCCAATCATCATCATCATCATCTTCTTCTCCTCCTTAGTCCCACCTTCTTCTTCTTCTTCTTCTTCTTCTTCTTCTTCTTCTTCTTCTTCTTCTTCTTCTTCTTCTTGCCCCCCCCCCCCCCCCCCCCCCCCCCCCCCCCCCTTTTTTTTTTTTTTTTTTTTTTTTTTTTTTTTTTTTTTTTTTGTTGTTGTTGTCGGTGTACACTGTCTCCTTCTTCTCGCCCACCTAACATACTCATCTTCTTCTTCTCGCCGTTCTTTCTCATCCCCTGCCCGCCATCACCGCCAATCATCATCATCATCATCATCTTCTTCTCCTTCTTAGTCCCACCTTCTTCGTCTTCTTCTTCTTCTTCTTCTTCTTCACGTGTCCGACGGATATCCACCACATCCCTTTTTTTTTTTTTTTTTTTTTTTTTTTTTTTTTTTTTTTTAATTAGGCAAAATGTAGAAAACAAGGGGTATAGGGGGGGGCCAAGGGGGGTGCGTTCGGTGTGTGTTGGCGACTGCTTCCACACGTTGCTGTCCAATGGCGGGTGGCAGTGGCGCTGCTGCAGGCGGTGGCAGTGGCGGCACCGGAAGGAGGAGACCTCCGTCAGGATCAACGGACAAAGGAAAGGCCAGTGCCAGTTCCAGTGCTCCCGCATCTGGGGTGACTGCAAAGGATCCCACGCAGGCGTCAGACCCCTCTCTGTTCGTTCCTCAGGATGACACGAGGCAACAACTGCAGCGCATTCGGGACGTGTGGAAATACGTCATACAGGATCAAGAAGCCCTGCCGAAGGGTCGAGGAGAGTACTGGCTCAAGTGCCGGCTATGCACACAAATTTGGAGGGGCACGAGCACATGGGCAGTGGAACACTTTTTGAAGTTGTTGAAGCCGTGTCTGTTGAGGACAGGTGAGATGGTGCACAAGCTCGTTGTCGCCGGTGCGAAGGTGTTGCCGAGCGACAAAAGACGCAGTACCTCCTCAAGAACTATAGGCAGTTGCATGGCATTGCGGAAGGGGGGACAACTGCGACGGAGACTCAGTACGCGGACTCCGAGCCGCTCGTTTGCGGGTACGAGGAGCCGCAACCACCAACCATTGCGGGGATGGCACCACCGAAAACAGCTTCTCGGAAAGAGCCGGTCGCCGCTGCAGACGAGGGGCTTGCAGAAGGTTCAGGGTCGAACACGAGGGTGGCATCACTGCAGCAAACATCAATCAAGAGATGGGTGGAAAACGATGCACAAAAGAAGTTGGATATTGCGTGGGCGGAGGCGATGTTCCGTGCTGGCATTGCGTTTAACTTCCTGAACTTCGACATGACGCAGAAGCTCCACGAAGTTTACTTGGAAGTTGCGACTGCTCGACCGAAGGTCAAGCTGCCCTCGTACAAGCATATGAGGACGGTGATGCTTGACTTCATCTACTTGCGAATTCAAAAGCAAGTGCATCCTCTGACAGCCTGTTGGGATGAATCAGGCTGTACATTCATCACGGACGGGTCATCCGACCGTTGAGAGCACCCTGTCATGAACTTCTTGGCAGCGGGGGAGAAGGGTGCAGTTCTGGTGGCCACAATGTCAATGACGGCAAGGAAGAAAACAGCGCAGGCGTTGGCAAAGTTGTGGGAGCAGATTATGAGGGAGATAGAGGTGCATCGCATCAACGCGATCTGCACTGACAATGCTGAGGTGAACAAGAAGGCTGCTCAGATTCTGGAGCCAGACGCTTATGCCGGATGGAATGCACTGAGTCTGCCGCACTGACAAGGACATTGCACGGATTCCATGGGTTCCTTGCGCTGCGCATTGTTGCAGCCTTTTGCTGCGAGACATCAGCAAGCCAGACTGGGTGAACAACACTGTCAAGAGAGGCCACATGATTGTGAAGTTCATCCGGAACCACCACTCCATGAATAGCCTGATGATGTCCATGGACGATTCCCTGACATTGCTTCGTCCTACGAAAGTTCGGTTCGGGTCCGTGTACATGATGTTGGAGAGGCTTCTGAACAGGAAGGCAGTGTTGTCCGATAGGGTGGATCGAAAAAATGCAACGCGGTGGACGGGGATCCGTTGGTCCACTGCGAAGTTGAAGTCGAAAGCGGACCTGGTTTACTTCACCATGAGGAGAGACGGCTGGTGGATGGAGTTGAAGAAGGTGGTCGACGTCATGGAACCGTTGTACAGCCTTCTCAGGAGGATGGATCGAGATGGAACATTGCCGACAAACCTTGTCGAATACAACGACCTGATTGAAAGGAAACTCGCTCACGTCGTTCTCACTGAGGACCAGCGGGCGAGTGTCATGAAGAAAGTGAGGGATCGGGTGAAGATGATGCGGCAGCCAGTACATGCACTGACGTTTCTTCTGGACCCGCGCAGGAGAAATCCATGGTGGCTCTATGATCGGGACAGTGCAATTGTGCAGAATGCGATGCATTACCTGCAGAGACAGGTTGGAGGTCCTTGGAAAGGGCCAGACCACCTAGAGGTTTTGGGTGACCTGCACGAGTTTCACAAGGAGCCCACGCCGAACGGGCCCAAGAGAAAGGACAAGAAGATGTGGGAGCCCGATGCGAAGGTTGATTGCGAGAAGCTCACACCGTCAGAGTGGTGGCCGACTTATGGCGGCGATGTCCCCGACTTGCAGGCCATTGCCATCAAAGTGATGGGCATGTGGAGTACAACAACCCCGATTGAGAGGAATTGGTCGTCCATGGACTGAGTGCATTCGAAAAGGAGGAACAACTTGAAGGCCGAAACATTGGAGAAGCTGGTGTACATCCATTGGAACATGCAACTGCTGCGTGCTGCCAACAACAATGGTGCCAACGGCGAGGGCTACGTCGATTTGTGGAGTTCGTTCTTCGAGGCTATTCCGGAGCCAGATGAGAACGACGGATCTATCTTGAGGGGCCCTAAGGAAGAAACTGAGAAGACAGATGAGGAGCTGGTGCGGCAAAGTAGCTTCGTGAAGACACCGAAGGGAAGGATTCCAAAGAAGCTCGAGGACGAAGAGGATGAGTGCACCGACGACAGTGACTTGGATGATGAGTTGTGGAAGGGGAAGTGTGGATTGTCGGATGAGACGAGCGGCGCGGAGGAGGAGGAGGATGAAAGTGATTCTGATTTTGAACTGGGAGCCCAGCCATCGGTCCCGGGCACTACTTATGTTGGTAGGAGAGAACCTGCAGGGCGTCGGAGGGAGAAGCAGCCCGCGGTTTCTACACAGGCCCGGGGGGGAAGCTCCTCCCAATACCATCCTCAGTCTGACGTAGAGTTCCATCACATGGACACAAACATCGAGTTGCTGCTGCAAAGTGGTCCGGTTGATGAAGACGAGGCGGAGGCCGACCGTGCAAAGGCATTAGCAGATTGTGATAGAGACGCCGTCCAAAAACGGATCATGGAAGAGGACGCCCGACGCGCAGCAATCCCGACCCGGAGGGAGATTGAGAGACGCAAGAAGAAGGTTGGGGAGAAGGAACCGGAGACACGTCGGGCATTGGGCGTTGTGCAAGAGGGAGATGAGGAAAAGCAACAGCAAAGTGGACTGGTTTTGAAGGCGGCGGACCAGCAAGAGGTGGACCAGCAAGAGGCGGAGCACCGCAAAGAGGCGGAGGAGAAGGACCAGCAAGAGGACAACGACGACATGGACCACCTACAAGAGGCGGAGAAGGAGCACGGAGAAGAGGACGAGGAGATGGAGCATGAAGAGGACGAGGAAGGGATGGAGAGACAAGGAGTGGAGGAGGCCATGGAACAGCAAGAAGATGCGGAGGGCATGGAACAACAGGACATGCAGCACAACGTGGATGACGAGGACGGTGAAGAGGAGCACCGTCCTGCAGTGAAGACCGTGTACACTCGTAGGCAACGACCGGTTGTGTCCGCACAGTCTGTTGAGAACTTACCCGACTTCCCTCCAAGCAATGAGGCTGTCCAACATGACAACCTGTGGGTGAGCAGGGTGGGGAGGAAGAGGAAGGAACCGGTGGAGGATGCTGCTGCAAAGCCTAAGCGTGCTCGTGGAAGGCCCCGCAAGCTGAAGACCGCTGAACCCGGTGCAAAAAAAAAAAAAACATTCGCCAGCGCAAGGCTCGTGCGGAGGTTGTGGAGGATGACCCCGATTCAGATAACTGCAGTGAACGGTCATCTGAATTCGAGGGAAGCCACCCCGATGGCAAATGAGGTCGCCGTGAGTGTGTGTGTGTGTGTGTGTGTGTGTGTGTGTGTGTGTGTGTGTGTGTGTGTGTGTGTG